TACTGTGATATCCTCTCTTAATGAGAGGTTCAAGACCTTGGGCGAGGTGAATGAAAAGTTCAAGGTATTGTTAGGGTTCACAGACATGTCTGACAAAGACATCGTCGATCACTGCCAAACCCTCAGCAACACGCTTACTCATGAGGGACACTCAGACATTGATGGAAGGGAACTGGCCATGGAGCTGCAGAGTGTCCTTGATTTGCCTTCCAAGAGAATGACAACAATGGATTTCGCACTTCCTGCATGAAAAGAAACTTACTGAAGTATTCCCGAACTTGTGGGTAGCTCTGCGGATCTGTGCAACTCTCCCTGTAACGGTGTTGGCAGCAGAGCGGAGCTTTTCTAAGTTAAAACTGATAAAAACTTATTTGCGGTTGCGATCCACAATGGCGCAGGAACGTCTTAGTGGGCTGGCCATCATCAGTGTGAACCATGCAGTGTCTAGGGAGTTATTGTGTGATGATGTAATTGACGAATTCGCTTGCAGGAAGTCAAGAAGAGTCAAGTTATAACTGTTATAAGCATGCACGTAGCAAAGAGGAGAAAACGGCGGAATCCAGAATGTCATGACATATGTTAATTGAATTGCTTATTATTTAAATACAATGGTAGTTTGATTTTGAGTGTTTTTTACAGTCACTTTTCATGCCATCATTTTATGTTGCTTGTATTGTACTTTTCTTTGGATATTCCACAGTTTAAGAGGATTTGCTAATTAATGTATGTATTAGCAAATTAAAATAGATCAGTGTAAGGTAAACAGTTTCTTCAATATGTTACCTTGATTACTTTGTGGGCAAACCCAATCGTGAAGTGGGGGGGGCATGGGGGCGCCAGCTGCAGTCCTGCTAAGGGCGCCAAATAGGCTGGCGCCGGCCCTGGTTCGGGGTATGCGGGTAGGACTGAAAGGGCTGAATATTATTAACACCTTATTTTAAATAATATCACAACTGGTAAATCATTATATCTTGTATGTCTTCCAGTCTGGCAGTTTTGTTAAGTAACACATGTTAAATGCCAGATACTAGATCAGTTGTGTCTTTCATGGACTGCCAGTACTGTAGTTAATAAAGCTACAGGTAGTGCTGGGATGGCCTAAAGTTGTGGGTGGTCACTGTTTGTTATGCCGTATTAATTTTAGATGATACTGTTCATTGATGTTAACATAATATTGTCATTATTATTTACTTAAAATAGGTGGATAAACATACTGTGAATGCAAAGAGAATCAAGTCCCTCCTTCTCCGCCTCGCACTGAAAGAAAACACAGCTTATGGTGAACGCAGAATATACATCCAGCTACCAGAGGAGTCAGATCATTGTAATCACAAAACTCCGGTAAGTGGTCCTTTTGTCCTTAGGAAAAATGTGTCTCACTGTCTTTTGAGAAATTACTTATCAGTAAATAAATTATTCACTATTATAGGTTCCCCACATTGGAAAGATAATAAAGCTTTAAGTGCTTGTCTGTCATTAATTGTTCCCAAATAGTGAAGAAACTTTTAAGAAAATAATCATTTGGTATCATGATCACCTCTACATGCAAAGAGAAACTACAGTAATATGTTGCTATAGTGGGCTGATTATTACATAGGATAGTCCAGATCAATGTAAATTCTTACAAAATTAATTATTTTCTGTCATATGATCCTTCAACTTCATTGTACTGTACAGTGTGATCTCATGCATCCAAACTTGTTAAATCATGTAAAGAGCTCACCTTACTGTAAGTGATATAAGTATTTGTTATCTACAGGGTGAGTCAAAAGTCTCCATACACAGACAAAATGATCACTTTATTCTACAATCACTTGTAAGTCACAAAATATGCTCTATCCGGCCACCATTACACTGAATGCACATACGGATGTATTCCTCCCACTCATGGCAAATGCGCCATGAGTAAAGGAAAGGATAGTAAAAATTAAGTTTAATACTTACATTGAAACCTGGGACTGGTTTGCCTGTAGAGATGGGCATTTGTAGGCATGACAGAGTCTTTATTAGGATTTAACTGAAGATGGTGATGATGATGTAGATGTTAATAGGATTGGTTCTGGAGAATCTGCTGAGGTAAAAGGAACTGGTTCTGGAGTTGATGGGAGTTGCTCTAGAGATGCTGCAGAGGTTGATGGAACTGGTTCTGTAGATACTGCAGAGGTTGATGGGAGTGGTTTTGGCTGCCTTTCGACTTTCTTAAAAACCTTTTCAAGGGATGGTTGAATTCAAACTTTTTCTTCTCCTCATAAATCTCTCTCTAGCATCAAAGACATTCAGTAATACCTCTATGAACCTTGGTGAATCTTGCTATGTTGGTATCTTGCTGATCAAATTTAAACAATCCTTCTTCAATAAGCCTGAAACCATCTGCCTTTTATTTTGTAATGAATCGCTTTGGTTCTTGAGTTTCAGCTTCCTCTACATCCTCTGACAAAATTTGCTTCTACAGTTTAATCATGTCCTCATTGCTTGATTCTTCAGCATGAGACTCAAGCACCTGTGTGACATCATCCTCATGAATATCAAGCTGGAGTTAGTTCCCAAGGTCTACCACTGTCTGTATCACTTCCCCAACATCATTTTCAAAACCCTTGAAATCATAGACAAACTGTGGGCAGAGTTTTTTGAAAACACCATTCATATTGGTTTCTTTTACCTCTGCCCATGAATCTACAATGTTTTTCACTGCACACAGCATCATAAATGTTGTATGACTTCCAAATTTCTTTAAAGTCCTACCCTCTTTTCGTTCTGTTGCCCTGATAGCTTGAGCAAATGTCCTTCTCAGATAATATGCTTTAAATGAAGCAATAATTCCCTGGTCCATCGACTGTAAAACATACAGTATGTTGTGTTTGGAGGCAGGTACACAACCTTAATGTTTGGGTGAACATTATCTTAAAATGGAGGATGGCCAGGTGTATTGTCAAGAACCAATAAAATTTTGAAAGGTATTGACTTTGAAATACAATATCACTCCACTTCTGGCACAAAATGATTTAGGTACCAGTCTTCAAAAAGGGCCAATGTAACCCAAGCCTTCTTATTAGATTTCTAGATAACTGGAAGTGCTGCCTTGAAAACACCTTTCAAAGCTCTAGGATTTTCTGACTACTAGACAAGCAAAGGTTTTAGTTTGTAGTCCCCAGCAGTATGGTCAACCTCTCCTTGGCAGCTTTATACCTTGGTGCTGTTTTTTCTTGTTTTGAAAAGTACATGCATTCGGCCATCCTTTTCCAAAATAAATCAGTCTCATCAATATTAAAAACTTACTTGGCACAATAACCCCCTTCTTTAATTATTTTAGCTAAAGCAGCAGGAAATTCACTTGCTGCAACTTCATCCACACTAGCTGCTTCACCCTGCACTTTACTGTTATGGAAGTTTGCCCTTGCCTTGAACCAGTTAAAGCAGCTCTTACTCGCAACAAAATCTTACCCTCACTTTCATCACCACATTTAGCAAGCAAGGTTCTCGCTTTTTCCTGAATCAAGGCTAGACTTAGAAGCAAGCGCCATTGATATTGATCTTCTACCCATATCACTAACAATCTTTCCATTTCAATTAACAATCCACTTCCTTGTTTTGTTATCACAGTTGATTGCATTGGTGTTGATCCTATTACATGTTCAAGAATTTTTTGTTTGTCTTTCAAAAATTTTCTGACCTTTGACCAACTGAAGCCCAACACTTTTCCAATGACTGAGGATGTTTTGCCTTTTTTAGAACATTTAATTACATCAACTTTCACTTCCATTGTAATTGTTTTCCTTTTCTTGGATGCACTATTGTCACTTGCATCAGGTTTGCATGTGAGGCCATAATGAGAGCCGAAAAAGAGTTAATATGCCAAAAACAACTGTTTGCACTACACGTTACTGAGTGTAAGGTGTACTGTACTGATGTTTCCTCAAGGCGCGTGGCTGGGTGATGCATTATTCCCTACCCGCCACTCTGCCTCACCGCTACGTCACGCAAACTGGTTCTCGTACATTAATACCATGAACCAGTTGTACCTATGTTTGATTCTTAAAATAATTGACCTTATGGGACCTTGTTTATATTGGCGGGTGTTCGTAAGTCGGACGTTTGTAAGTCGGGGATCCCCTGTATTGCTTTTAGTTCAGCAGGAAATTTTTTAGCAGCCTCAGTATCAGCACTGTTTACTTCACCTACCATCTTAATGATGTGTAGGTTTGAACGTCTCTTGAAATGCTCAAACCACACTTTGCTGGCATTAAAGGGCTTTTCATCAGAGCTACCACCTTCTTCTTGGCTTAAATCTGTATACAGACTCTTGGCCTTCTCCTTAATAACCATTGTGTTAATGAGCACATTTTGCTTGGTCTGGTTCTCTATCCTTACACTGAGTAGGCATTCCATTTTTCTCATTGCATCACTACGATGAAAATAAAGTGTATGAGCTGTCAGTTAAACAGTTTATTGAAAAAGTTCTGCAGCTAGAGGACTGAAAATATACAGTTGACAGAAATGACTAACTACATAATTATGTTGACATGTCATAAGCACAGACAAACACACACCTGGCATATTTTTGTTCTATTATTTAATATTTTATATTATTTATGATGAAACATATACCATAAGAGGCTGATCATGCGAGAATACTGTTTAATAAAGAATAAATAAAAAAAAATTGCAATCGTGGCAATGGCATCCCCCCACTAGCATGTTTATACATAAAGTTGATCTCTTAGCCATTAGCTCTTGTTAGGCCTATATCAAATCTGATTATACCACTGTACGGTATACCCATTAAAGATAATACAGGTTACATTATATATTTTAATAATAAATAAGGTAATATATTTTATATAATTTTTTTTATAATGAACTGTCATTATACCATTGCATATAGAGAGATGAGCTCCTGATGACAATTGAAGGGTAATGTATCTTTACTAATTAATGAATAACAAATAAATAATGTACAGTGATCCCTCGGTTAACGAGCGCCTCGGCTAATGAGATTTCGGTTAACGAATTACCTTCCATAAGATTCTTAACTTCGGTTAACGAGCATTCCCTCGATTAACGAATTCCTTATGAGCGCCCCTCAACATGTTTTCAATTGCACACCAGCTGTCGTATTAGTCCGCCAATACAGTAATCGTTTCTAGGGCTTAAATTCCTTACCATTTTAGTAAATATCAAGAAGGTTGTCCTATTCAATCATTTTAAAAGTTTTATCTTAAATTTTTTAGTAATTTTAACAATTATTGAACATAATTGAAGTACAGGAAACTAGTTTTATGCGCGCCAAACAGCCTGTCAACACACCAAACAGGCGTCAGTCTCTGTGTCTTTTCAGTGGAAGTAACATCTTGCTTCAGACTCTCTTCAACATAAATGCTTTTTTTCTGTGTTTTTAGTCAAATTATTGGTCATTTTTAAATTTATTTTGCATATTGATGATATATAGCGCAGTGCAGTGTTAATTTAAAGAAAATATTCTTTATTTACAGCAATTAAACTTAAAATATCACATGTTGAAATTGTTTTTGAATCCAGCATGGGTCCCAAGAAATCTAGAAAAGCGATTTCAATTCAGATGAAACAGGAAATAATTAAGAAACATGAAGAAGGCATCAGAACAAATGTGCTAAGCAAAGAATATGGCATGTCGACATCAACTGTGTCGACAATTCTTGCACAGAAAGACAAATTCAAGGAAGTGAAAGTGAGAGACAAATCTACCAGAGTGTTCAAAGGTAGATCCCTAATAGCAGAAACAGAGGTTACTTCTCATTTGGATTAGGGAAAAACAGATGAAAGGATATTCAGTTTCTACTGAATTTATTTGTGAAAGAGCCAGGGAATATACAAACATTTAAAGGTAGATCAACCTGGTTCTTCAGGCACAGACATTGAAAATTTTAGGGCCAGCAAGGGCTGGTTTGAAAAATTTAAGAAAAGAAGTGACATATTTAGTGTTGTTAGACATGGTGAAGCTGCCAGTGCTGATAAGGAAGGGACAGCAAAATTTTTAGTGGAATTTCAAGAACTGATGGATATAGAAAATTATCTTCCACAGCAAGTGTTCAGTATGGACGAAACTGGGCTGTTTTGTGGAAAAAGATGCCCAAAAGGACATTCATCACCAGAGATGAAGCCTCTTTACCTGGGCATAAACCCATGAAAGACCGCCTCACTCTATTGCTTGGTGTCAATGCTTCAGGGGATTTCCAACTGAAGCCTATGCTTGTCTACCACTCTGAGAACCCCAGGGTGTTCAAGCAACAAAAAGTGGTAAGAGGACAACTTGGAGTTTATTGGAAATCCAACCGTAAGGCATGGGTGACAAGACAGCTCTTTAA